TTTTGGGATGTACTCGGTAAGTTGATCAAATTTTAATTTTTTTGTTTTTTTTACCTTCCAAAAATATGCTTTTAATTCGTAAGAAAAAATAATTTTTTTTTTTTTAAAATTTCTTTGGGCGTGGTGGTGATTCAGATTTTGCCCTTGGGCCCTGAAAGGGTTAATTCAAAAAGTCGGGACATGCCTGCAAAACACATCAGGGTTTTTTTTGTTTTGTTTTGGGGGGGGGGGGGGGGGGGGGGGGGGGGTTTGGGGGGTTTAAAACGGGGAAATAAGTTTTGAAGTAACCAGTCTGTTTGGATAGAATTTTCAGAGGGGGTGAAAAATTAATTTTTGGTGTGATATACCGTCCCAAATTTAGAAGGGGCCCGGGGAGACTACTATGGGGGGAAATTGTTAGGGCCAAAGGCACGTAAAGTAGTAATTCTAGGGGATAACTTTAGTATATTGATTTAAATTTTTTGACTGGGAAATTTTGAATCAATGACTTCTTTGTAGAGTTCAGGATTTTTTTTTGAAGCAGTTTTTGGGGAACCACAAGGGGTAATAACCTGCTTGACTTAGTTTGGCAAACAATGAAAACCCTTGTTAATAATTTGAAGTTTCAGAGGAACTGGGTGCTAGCGACCAAAATAAATTTAAATTTTGCATTAAATGGAAGTATATAGTGGGGATAATCGTAACGGTCCCAGATTTTCGTTAGCAATTACGATGGGCTTGGGAAAAATTACTTTTGACGGGGGTAACGAAGAAGCTTCAATATGAAGTTTTTTTTGAAAAAACCAACATGTCTCAAAAAATTTTCCCTTATAAAAAATTAGATCAAAAAGAAAAAAACCCCCAAAAAGGGTGAATAATAGGCGAAAAAATCTACTAGGGCATGGGGAAATTTTTAGGCGATCAAAAAGAGGGGAGGGTCATCTTTGAAACATATATTTATATTAAAAGGGGCATTAAAAAGGGAAAAAAAACTAAAAGGGACATAAATTAAATTGCTTTGGGATTCTAAAACAACCCAAAAAATTTTTTCCGGTAATAGAACAAAAGTCAGAGATAAGAAGGTCCCCTTTAAAAAAAACTATGGGCATCTTACTGACAAAGGAAAGAAATGTGCTCGATTTTAAAAAATATTTTCTCTCGGGTTTTTTCACAGGAAGAAACTAATAAAATTTCCCTAATTAATTTTTTTAGTGGGCCGAAGAAGATAAATTATGTAATCAAAAGTCACAGTGAAATGGTTGTGAAGCGATAGACCAACTGAAGAAAATAAAATCCCGGTCCCGATGAGGTTTTTTCAAGGGTTCTTAAGGAATGCAAAAAGGAAATCTGTGAACCATTAACTAATATTTTTAATTTATCTCTTCAAACACTTTTAGTGTCTGATATGTGGAAGATGGCAAATTGTAATTCCTATTTTTAAAACGGGACAAGTCGTTACGTCAAATTACCGCCCAATAAGCCTGACCTCAATTGCAGGCAAATTACTAGTCAATTATAGCTCAGATTATAAGAAGCCATCTCGATAAGCATAGCTTGATTAATGATACTCAGCATGGTTCATAAGAGGCCGGTCTTGTCAAACTAATTTATTAACTTTCTTCAGTAAAGCTTTTGAGGCTGTTGACCACGATAAAGAATTTGATATCTTTTACTTAGATTTTAGTAAGGCATTTGATAGAGTTCTGCACCAAAGACTGTTGAAGAAGTAGCAGCTCAGGGCTTTGGGGGGAAGGGTGCCTCGTGGATCGAATCATGGCTCACAGACAGGAAGCAGTGTGTGTCCTAAAGGGGGTTAAATCCGAGTGGGGTTCAGTAAAAAGTGGCGTTCCCACAGGGATCAGTCTTGGGCCCCTTGTTGTTTAATAATATATATCAATGATCTTGAGGGAATTACTAGTGATATGAGCAAATGCGCGATGACACAAAGATAGGTAGGATAATTATTCAAACGTAGATGTTAGGGAACTTCAGGAGGATTTAGACAAACTCTATTCTTGGTCAGAAAAGTGGCAGATGCAGTTCAATGTAGATAAATGCAAGGTTCTGAAGCTCGGGAGTGTCCATAACCCTAGCACTTATAAGTTAAATAATGTAGAACTTAGCCATACAGATTGCGAAAAGGACTTGGGGGTTATGGTAAGCAGCAACCTTAAACCAAGACAGCAATGCCCGAGCGTACGTAATAAGGCAAATAAATTACTGGGATTTATATCAAGAAGTGTAAGCAACAGAAGTCCAGAGGTTATACTGCAGCTTTATATATCATTAGTAAGGCCTCGCCTAGATTATGCAGCTCAATTCTGGTCTCCATATTACAGAATGGATATAAATTTGTTAGAAAACATTCAGCGTAGGATGACTAAATTAATACATAGCATTAGAAATCTTCCTTATGAAGAAAGATTGAAGACTCTTAAGTTACATTCATTGTTAGACGAAGAATGAGGGGAGACCTGATCGAAGTGTATAAGTGGAAGATGGGGATTAAATAAAGGGGATATTAACAAGGTCTTGAGGATATCTCTCCAAGAGAGAAAACCCCCAGTAATGGATTTAAATTGGATAAGTTTTTGATTTAGAAAGGACATAGGAAAAGTATTGGTTTGGAAATAGGGTAGTTGATGAGTGGAACAGTCTATCTAGTTGGGTTATTGAGGCTAGGACTTTGGGTAGTTTCAAATTTAGGTTGGATAAGTACATGAGTGGGAAGGGTTGGATTTGAGTGGGACTTTCATACCAGAGCTTATTTCTTGGGTAACATTGAAAATTGGGTTGGGCAAATGTTTTGTTAGTGGGATGAATTGTAAAGGACCTGCCTAGTATGGGCCAACAGGCCTGCTGCAGTGTTCCTCCTTTCTTATGTATATCAAATTAATTTTCCTCATTTAAATTAACTGAAAAGCCATTAATTCGTTCCTGCACTCTGGAGAGAGGAGAAAAAATACTTTAATATGACGCTATTATCAATTGTATGGCTTATTTATCTATCACAATTAATCTAGTATGACATATTAAACAATATAATTAGCACAGAAACATATATACACTCTAGAATGAATAAAATAGGCCATAGTACAATGGCAGAGGCAGCAGCGGCAGTCATTTCTGTCACAATTTGACCATAGTATCTTCCAATGTTCTTACTGTAAGAGAAAATGGAGTACTTTTGAGGCTAACTGCAGTAGATCACTAGGACCCATAGTGAGAAAAAGAAATTTGGCCAAATGGCTAAGAAAAATGAAAACAAGCATGAGAGAACTGCCCCCACAGGGATGTAAACATGTTTACTGCTTAACAGCTGTGCAAACTAGCAGAAGCAATCTGAATTATTACGTACGTATTATGCATTATTATTATTAATTTAGGGAACTGAAGCTCTATCGTTATTAAATTTTTTAATTTTTTTTAATTAGAATTTGAAAATTTGCTGACCAAAAAAAATTTGTTTTTTTTATGTAAAAACGTTTTATAATTAATTTACATGGTTCAGTTTGTGGGAAGGAAAAAAAAATTCTCTTGGTCAAGCGGCCGCCTTGTTGTAGAGCAGCCGGGAGCCCCTCCCCTACCACTCCCCGACACCACCCCCCACCATCCCTTACCACTCCCCGACACCACCCCAGCATTCCCAACTCATACGTGTTCAGTCCCCTCTCCTACAAGGCAGCTGTGTTTGTCAATTTTGTTATATTTTAATTACTATATCTTGTAATCTGCCAAGCAATCATGGCACCCAGTAGGCATACCAGTGTTGCTGAAAGTGGCATGAAGATATTAAACAAGAGAACCTGTAGCCGTAACTGAAGTGTTACTTTGTACACAGAAAGAGGGGTTAACATGGTGGGGTGACTGTGACTGACTTATTGAGTGACATGACTAAACTGAATGACTTGATTGACTGACTGGCTTGACTAATATTATATTATTTCTGAGAAGATTACCATGGAATTAAATCATGAAATCATATATAAACAAGTGAGGGGTCCAGGTTTGGGTTGAGGGGGAAGAGGGGGGGGGGAGCTGGCTCGTAACCCAAATGTTGGGTTGTAACTCAGAGCAAAAAATCGACCCAGGGACAGCTCGTATCTCAAAAAAACCGTAAGTTGGACACTCTTAAGTCCCAAAGGGTTTCCCCTGTATATACGTTTGGACTGTTTATGGGTTAAAGACCATAAAAATGAAGCCAGGGAAGGGGAGGGGTGGGTATTGAGAATTTCAAAACAAGGAAATAATGCGATGGTGACTCTTCAAATCATAGTGCTCCCTTACTTAGAATATTGCTCAGTGGGTGACGGCCCGTTCAAGGCAGGAGAATATCGGAAACTGGAACAAAAAACAGATATCGTTTAGGCTCAACTGAGCCAGTAAAGCACCTAAAAATACTGGGAAGCCTGCAAGTCTTGAACATGACTCATTGGAGCGGAGGAGAGAGAGGTACATGATAATATAACCCGGAAGGTACTCGAGGGGTTGGTCCCAAATCTGCACACTGCCATAACATACTGGAGTGAGAGATATGGGAGGAAGTGTAAAATAAACCCAGTGAGGAGCAGGGGTGTGGTGGGGACAATAAGGGGAAAACTATCAACATCTGGGGTCCCAGACTTTTCAACATCTCACCAGAAGATATCAGAAACAATGCTGGAAAAAGTGTAGAAGCCTTCAAGAGAAAAACTGGAAAAGTATCTTCACCAGGTGCCAGATAAAACCCAGGCTGTGATGGATGGGGTGGGGCAGCAGGCCTCCACAGCAACAGCCTGGTTGATCAAGCAAGCACCAGACAAGCCTGGCCCATGGCCAGGCTCAGAGAGTAGAAAAATTTCTCGAAACTCTTCAAAGGTACATGGTGCAGGGTGGACCTCGGGCATGGGGGGAGGCGGAGTGGAGGCAGCACATGGTTGGGGAGGTGCTGGCGGTTTCTTTGTCTGTCCACCCACCACCCCATGTGGTTCCAGGCACGTGCCCCCCACCATTAATTCCTCCATCCCTGCATATTCACCTTCATGATCACTTTCACTATCCGTGGCCGGGGTTTGGATCGTGACCTGCCACGACCCTTGCTGCCGACTGCAAATGGCACACTGCCTGAACGTAGGTGACAACGCCTAATAGTACGCTTATAGTGATCATTATTCACTGGTGAATAATGATCACTATCACTAGACAATCCTCTAAGCATAAATCAATCTCATTGTCACTTGCATCACTTTCATTGTCACTAAAACACAGGAAAAAAAAGATAGTTTCCTCTTGCGTAGTTGCCTTTGGGTAACACTCGCCACTCCAGAGGTGCTTGGCCTAAGGGTCTGGTGTGGCCACACTGGGCACCCCAGAGGTGATGGGCTGAGGGTCATCTGGGTTATTGTCGACATTTTCACTAATTCCTTGATTATTAGTAGCCACATCTGTCAAATCCACTAAACGACGTTCCGTATCACTTCCTCGAATAATAGTGTGCTAATACGACAAGGAGTGAGTGAATCATGAAATGTGCCATGATGTTTGACCCAAGAGGGAGCTGAATGTAACTGGGCTACCATGCTGTACCCAGGCGTCCCGATTTTTTTCATATGGCACACACTGTGTGCGCACATCCATTCTCTCGTTTCTAGGTGGTCAGACTTATTGCACCAATTTTGAAGGAATGAAAAATGAAACTTAAATATACTTTTTAGGGCAGTACTGGTAAAAACAAATACATACAGTGGTCCCTCATTTATCGTCGTTAATCCGTTCCTGGAAGTGCAACGATTGTGGAAATGAACGATTTTCGAATCAATTTTCCCCATAAGAATAATGTAAATACAATTAATCCGTTCCTGACACCCAGAATATTAAAACAAAAAAATTTTTTTTACATGAAAATAGATGTAGTACATAAACAATACAATGGGACATGATGAATGAAACATTAACAGCATAACACTTACCTTTATTGGCGATTCTTCTTAGTGTATGGAAGACGGAGGAGGAGAGAGATTGGATTAGTTACTGTTTGGAAGGGGAATCCCTTCCATCAATTCCTCAGGTACTAAGTCCTTTTCTGGGGGTTATTCTCTTCTCTGTTTCTTAAAGCCACTAGGACCACCTTGAGAGTCACTGGAGTCCTGTCTCGCAAAAAAAGTACCCCGAGAGCTCTGTTTCTGGCGTCTCTTTAAAACTTCCCCAAAATGGGCCCAAGACTGTCACTGTACAAGTTGCCGATTGTCCCCGCCCAAAATCCTTTCAGGGGTGATGTTTCTCCACAAGTCTTTCCCTCCTACTCCATATTTCAAAAATCTCCTTAATTTCTGAAGAAAGGCACCTTCTTCCACCTCCTCTGCAGTAAGATTCTGAGCTGCAATCTGTTGCTTTTCCTGCTGAAGCTCTTGCAGCTCCTCATGGTTAGCTCTTTGTTGGGTCCTCCACCAACTCTTCCACATCCTCCAAACTCGCATCCAATCCCATGGAACCCCCAATGCCACAATAGAGTTCACAACTGACATAGGCTATCAGGGTCAGCCGCAAACCCTTCAAAACCCCTCTTGGTGGGCACAATCTGGCCACAATTTTCTCCAAGCAAGTTCAAAGTCCTGGTAGTCACTCCCTCCCAAGCCTTACCTAAAGGCTTAGCAATGGAGGATACTGAAATGTTCTTTCCAAAACTCTTGGGTCAAATGGGGGTCTGAGGTCACATAAAGCACCTTTGAAACATTGCTTGCGTGTAGAGTTTTAAAGTTTGAAATGGAAACCCGTGGGCCATGGGCTGGAGGGAAAGGAGTGGTATTTGAGGGCAAGAACTTTGTTTTGATGAACCCAAACTCCTGCAGAATTAAGCCATTTTAATTGGAGGATGAGCAGGTGCATTTTCCATTACTAGGAGGCACTCGAGATCCAATTTCTTTTCCAGGAGGTAATTCTTCACACTAGGGCCCCAAACAATTCATTGAACCATCGACAAAATTTCCTCGTACCCATGCCCCTTTTTATTTGATCTCCAAAACACCACAATTTTTCTCTTTAAATT